GCTGGTGCTCCCCTGAAGGGAAGGAGTGTGATGCTGGTGCTCCCCTGGGGGGAGGGAGTGTGAGGCTGGTGCTCCCCTGAAGGGAAGGAATGTGATGCTTGTGCTCCCCTGAGGGGGAGGGGGTGTGAGGCTAGTGCTCCCCTGAAGGGAAGGGATGTGAGGCTGGTGCTCACCTAGGGGAAGGAGATGTGAAGCTTGTTCTTACCTTGGGGGGCCAGGCCCTCTGGCTCAGCTGAGCCTGGCTGTGGCCCTGGGGGCTCAGGTGCTGGAGGTCTGGGGTCTTCCTCAGGGATGGGGTTGTACCAGATCTCGCCCGCGGGCTCTCCACTGCCAGGTACCCCAGGCCCTAAAGAGGTGTCCTCAGCTGGCTTGGCCCCACCCAGCACCCATCGGCGGCTGCTGGGCTCCAGGCTTTGCAGGTAGGCCCCCCGTGCAGGGCTCCTTGATGCCTCAGGGCTGGGGGGCCCCTCTGCTCCGGCCTGGGACCCTTCGGGAGCCTGGGGCTCTGGCTCTGGAGGGCTGGGCTCTGGGCGCTGGGCTGGGCGGCCTGGTGGAGAGCAAGGGGAGTGAGACCCAGCCCCTCACTTCCTGCAGAGCAGCCCTGTGCAATTGATCAGTGGGTGGGATGCTGTGTACAGCCCTGGCCCGCCCCTGATAAGTCACTGTTCCTTGGATCCTGCTCTTTTGGTTGGAATAGGCAGCCACAGGCTAGTGATCTCGGTTATCAGCTTAGAGCGCCCCCTACTCAATCCCTGACATCCCAAAAGGGGACTCCGTCCCTGCAGCCTCAGGGTTCTAAGTCAGGCTTCCTGGGGCCCGTAGGTACTGCGTTCCAGTCTCCACTTCCTCTCCCCTCTCAATAACTGTGGCATGGAGCTTTGCACTTGTGTGGCCTTGGGCAAGTCGCTTCCCTCTCTGAGGCTCAGTATCCTCCTGTGAAATGGGGGGATGTGATTCCCATGTCCAGGGAGGCTTCCAGGAGCCTTCTGGAAAAGTACACAGCCCACAGCAGGCACTACGTGCTCAGGAGTGAGGAGCTGGGTTCTCTATTCCCTGCAGCACAGTCACTCCCAGTCCCCTGCCCTTTTTACCCTCCCTCCTGTCTTCCAAACTCTGTCGCCATCCTGGGATGGGCCCTTGTCCTTCAGCCCAGGCCAGGCCCCCCAGGCTTAATGCCTTGGGACTTCCCCTTCCCTCCCTCCTCTCCTCTCTCACGTCCTGGGCTGTTTCCTGTGTGTGTTTGTATTTGGGCATCCCTGTCCCTTCTCCCTGCCCTGGGAACCTTGGGAATCTTTGGGAAGGCCTGGGGGGAAGGGGCACGTCCATGGAATGGTCTGGCCTTCCTCCTTTAACTCCTTCCTTCCTCGGTCCCCCTATCCCACGCAGCTGTTTCTCTAAGGTCTTTACTTGCTACCCTGCTGAACTCCTCCTCTGGTCACCTCCGATGTCTACCCTCTAGGGTCTCTATTGGTAGCAAAGCCCAAAGAGCTGTTTAAGTCACCGGCCCTGGGCACATTACCCCATTGCTCCGTGCCTCAGTTTCCCCATCTGTATAAAGGGCACAGTTTCCTGGGGCTAAGGCAGGCGCAGTTGCAGTCACCGGTTAGTAGGTGGGAGGTAGAGGGCGGCAGCTACTCTGATTGACGGGCCGCCCCTCTCTCCTTTGCAGGAGTGCACCCCTCATCTCCCATCCTGCGCCTCCAGGGCTTCCGATGCCCCTTGCCCAGCCTGACTGGGCCCCAGTGTCCCGGCCTCCCAGCCCCTCCTCCCCTCCACCCTCCAGGCCCTCAGTCGCAGCCCCATTTCCTGTCGTGGGCGAGGCCCCCTCCTGGGCCTCCCAAGGAGCCCGCAGCGCTGGCATCCTCGGCCAGCTGCACATAACGGTCCGTGCCCCCCTCCCTCCCAGTCCCTTCCTTCCAGGACCCCTACCCTCCCCTGGCTGGAGGCACCGCAGTCTGCAGCGGGGTGCGGGGGGCTCCCCCTGATCCCCCCCACCGTCTGTCCTCGGGGCCCTGGGACCCCGCTCCTAGGCCGGGCGGGGCTCGGCGCCCTCTCTTCCCCCACGGATCTCCGCTCACCGCGCTCCTTGGCGTCCGACTTTTTCCGGGGAAGTTTCTCCCGGCCCCGCAGGCGGGAGAAGGTTTTCCTGAGTAGCGGCTCGGCCATGCTGCGGCC